ACAGAACCCAAATCGACGGCGTAACTGCCACATGGAAGTGCTTTCAGGGTCCCGCAGAGTTTCACCTACATTACTAACATGATGAGGAGGTCAGGCTCCTCAATCTCGGCATCGTGCTCAGAAGGACTTCAGCCATTGCGCCGTCACATGACATGTTAGCTTATAAGCGAGGTATCCCGTACCCGTTTGCGTTACAGTTCATACGCATAAACCCATAGCAAAGGCTTGCAACATCGTCCCAAAGGATTGTGTGGGCTCTGAGTAGCACAGTAGATGCGAGCATGCTCCCGCCGACTTTCACAGGTAGCCCTTTGGCGACACGCCGCTGTTACCAATTCACTAAATACTGTTTACGGTACCAGGACAAACCATAGAGGAGCGCTAATCGCTGTTGCCGAGGTGGTCCTTGTTCAATGGCTGGTCAATAAATCGTTTGTTGCGAAATTAAGTTTGTTTGGCTTCCAGTTATTTTTACTGAATACAGATAACAAATATCTATTAGGTGCAATAAATAGTTTTGTCTAGATTGTATGTTTTGCCGTTACGGACGGACACACGGACACACGGACACACGGACACACGGACACACGGACAGGGGCAATCCTGGGGGGCGAAGCCCCCCCGAAGCCGCTTCGCGGCGGGGGCTCCGCCCAAAAAGGAAACATGCGTATATGAAACTTCTCATTTGTTTTGACTCGACCTTTCCAACTCCATGCAGCCGGCACGTGGTCATCGGGCTCCTGAAGGACAAGGACTGGACTTCGTCCTGCAGGCATCTCATCAAAGAGGGAGGTGCGTGGGGTAGTGGCTGTGGGGTTAGGGCATAAACTGAAGGGCCGACCGTGTAGAAGACGCATGTGTCCTGGAGTGTCAGCCCTAATGGTGCAGGCTGAACGTGTCCTGGCGTGCTTTAATCACTTAGGCGCTCGCCTTCCAAATAAGGTTAATCCTGACCCCAATCCATGTGGTATCCTCCCCCGTATCCTCCCCCCAAATGTCACGCAGTTCCTCTCCATCCAGTAGCCTTGAAGGTGTTCGGCGCCCCAGCACAAGGTCAGCAGGACCAGGCACCACTTGCTGGCGTGCCAGCGGGCACAGCACATGCGGGTGGTGCTGGCACTGCTGCAACGGTCCCTGCCACCACGGCAGGCGCTGCCACCATGGCAGGTGGTGTCCCCGGCGCCGCTGCACCTGTTACCACGGTTGGTGCTGCTGTGATGGCAGGTGGTGCCACTGGCGCTGCTGCACCTGTCCCCGTTACCACAGCAGGTGCTGCTGCAGTGCGTAGGACAACCAGAGCTGCAGATCAGCCTCCTTCAAGGTCAACGAGGCCTGCAAAGCAGCCTAAGGTGACCATCTCTGACCATGACCTCAACCTGCAGAACAAGCGGCCAGCCAGTGGCAAGAATGGAGCAGCGGGCAAACGAACGGGGGGGGGAAGAAGAGCAAGAATGAGAGCAGGAGTTGCATGCTTGCATGTATAGGGTTTGTGATATAGCTTGACATCGTAGTCAGGGGCTTCACATCACGTGATGGACTGGGGGTGTCTGTTATGGACTGGGGGCGTTCGTTATGGACTGACGGGCTTCGTTTTGGAATGAAGGGGCTTCACATCACATGATGGACTGGGGGCGTTCGTTATGGACTGACAGGCTTCGTTTTGGAATGAAGGGGCTTCACATCATGTGATGGACTGGGGACGTTCGTTATGGACTGACAGGCTTCGTTTTGGAATGAAGGGGCTTCACATCATGTGATGAAGCAGCTGAAGGGGTGCCTTCACTTTGACCCTTCACTTTGTAACGAAGGGCCTTCATTACAAAATGATATTGTCTCCTCGTTTTGCAGTGCCAAATGAAGGGTGAAATGAAGGGGTAAAAATGAGTGCAAAGCGAATGCAAAATGAAGGCTCGCCGTTCCCAGAGTGCATGTCGATTGTGCAAGTGGGGATGCAGCAGCGAGCGAGCAACCTGCCCTGTCATGGTTTTCACCATAGACGGTCGGTGGCGTCTAAGTGACTAAGCAGCTAAGGTCGTGCATGCACACACCGTGGAGGCGGGGATAGGACCGATCTGCACTCGGTGCCTCGGTGAAACCATGCTCACCATGAACACTGCCACAAACAAACAAATTCAAAAGCTAACGTACAAAGACAAAGCACGCTGCAATGGACTGCGTGCTGCAACGAGAACAAACACTGCCGCTACCAAAGCAGCTGCAATTTATTGAATGGAAACTGCAACCACTGAGCCACCGACCCGCCTGCCAGCATGAACCCATCCATGCATGTTCACGGCATGTACGTGAAACACTGACCCTGCTGGACCATTTTCAACAAAACAGCCACCACGGGGCCGAAACGACTTTGGACTTACAGCGAGGCCCCCCCCCCATTCGACTAATCCTGGGTGTGTCAGCGGGGGGTGGTAAATTCTTCCCCCCCTGACGAAGTGCTGGGCACCCGCACGCTGGCCAGTTGTTAACGATGCTTGCTTTTACACTTCTATGCTTAGGGCAAAGAACAGCAGTAGTAAGGAAGGCAAGCGCTGCTGTTCCTCGGAAATCCACCGGTTGCCGTTACGCCGTGTGGCGTAGTTATGCCAGCCCCAGCGGCCCCACGTGCAAAAAACGTACATGGCCCGCCCCCCCGCCCTTACACTGAGCATACGCCTATCGAACGGTGTATATGCAACAAGAACAGCAACATTATGAATGCGCAATTGATGCTGTTCCCTATTGATGGAAAGCAGAAACGGGTGGCCATCCATCGACCGTGCACATATACACGTGGCGAGGTCTCCCACAGTAGCGCACGTTGCGATTATCGCTGATTGGCTCATGTGCATCAAGAACAGCCATTGTGCATGCTTAATCAATGTTGTTCCCTTTTTGATGGGCAAGAGCAACGGGTGGCCATCCATCAAACGTGGACATAATAAGTGGCAAGGCCTCCCACGGTAGCCGCACGTTGCGATTGTCGCTCCTCGGCCCATGTACGCGAAGAACACACGCATTGCACATGTGCATCTAGTGCTGCTCCGTTCTCCATTGTCAGGTATCTAGCTTGCGTCACGAAAGCACTGCTTCAAATAATGTATATAGCGGCTTGTCAGATATGGCAGTGAAAGGAGAAGGAGTTGTAACACAGTTCAATGTTAGCAACCTCTTAAAGACGTTGCTGTATACTGAATACAGTTCTTTATAAAATAGCATTCTGTACCAGACCGAAGCGATCTCATGGCCTGCCCATGTGTTGTGTATAGTAGTGTGTGTGGTCGGACTGCAGCGGTTCGGTCATGCTGTTAGGTACAGTTACAGATAGGGCTGCGTTGCTTGTGTAATGACGGCGCGCTGAACAGCGGCAGTCGTTACCCGCTTGCTACCATGACCAATACTGCGGTTGCCCAGCGACACGTTACCAGGTACCACTTGCAAGTCCACCCAGCTGTACCCCAATATTTCTTTCGCCAACGGCGTGTGATCCACCCTCCCAGTACAGGTACAGGTTCGGGCCCTTCCCCCCTTTGTCCTAGCTGTCAGTTGCCCGGTACCCGCAGCACCACCCCCGCCTAGTTGCATGTGCCCAACACCCATTCCATCAGCCGCTCAGGCGGGCCTTACGATGTTGTGTGCATGCATTTAGGTGCTGTCATCGTCAGTGTCCTCCTCGCCGCCCTCCGAGGCAGAGCCACTTCCATCTGCATCCCCATCCTCATCACTGCTTCCCTCACTAGTGTCCGTGTCCTCCACGGGATCTTCCGACGCCGCCATGCTGCTGCTGCGGGCCCTCTCATCCTCCTCGTCATCTACATCGGACACATCCTCGTCCGTGTCCCCCCCAACGCCATCACTACCCTCGTCCCCGCTCGCCGTGTGCTGCTGCTCCTCACTGCTTGCCAGGTCCACGGCGCCACTGTGGTGGCCGCTGTCCGAGCAGTCCATGGAGCCGTCGCTGGCGGCAGCGTGCTGGCTGCCATGGGCGTCACCCGCATCTTCATCCGCGACCTTTTGGAACTCACGGATGTAGATGTACGAGTGGTTGTTGTAACTGGCCGTGGGTGGGGTGGGTGGGGTGGCGGGGAGGGCGGTTGTTGGAATGCTGCGCCGTTTAGGTGTGTGAATTAGGCAAGGACTTAAGGTGCACACTCTGGGCATTGCGTGTTTTTAGCAGGGGCACAGCAGGGGTTGTCAGCAGGCTTTGAGAGCTGCCACCTTTTCCCGCATGGACTCACGTGCGCAGGGTGGCGTCCCGGATGATGAGAGTGCCATCCGAGAGGCTCAGGAGGGGCGTCAGGACCAGCTTGGCGTACTTGCGGTCGCTGCTGATCTTGATCGCGCTGGCCTTGCCAGCCGGGAATCCCAGGAACCGATGGATGGCCATGTCGTGGAAGTGGAGCTCCACACTGTACGAGGTGCCATCCATGCTGCAGTCGGGCGCCAAGCCCGTGAGGATGTACTTGCTAAAGGTGCTGGGGCCACCCTTGAGCTTGCCGTGGACCGAGCACCTGGCGTGTTGGGTTTTGGGAAGCGCAGAGTAACGGGTGGTTCAAGGCAGCAGTAATGGTAGCGGGGCTGGTACACGCATTGTTGAAACAAACTAGCAGAAGTCTGGAGTCACGCTGGTAAGCATATTCCCGTGCCACACTCACGTGAAGGTCGAGTCCTCGGAAACCTGGAGCCGCTTGCCGCAGGGCTGGTTGTTTGGGGAGGTTGGCTCCGTGCAGTCGTAGCTGAAGGGGTTGTTCACGTTGTGCAGGACCTTGATCTGCAGCCGCACATGGCTCACGTACACGTTGTGGAGTGGGTGCCGGGCCGCAGCACTGATGGCCTCCGTCAGCTTCTTGGACCTGCAGGCGTTGGATACCTCACCAGCGTTCTGCAGGGTTGGGCAGGAGAGATGGGTGCGTAAGAGCGGTGGAATGGTGGCCGGAACGTTAGTTGGCTACCTGTGTACCCAAGTGGCCGGTCCCAGCTGGATATTTAGCAAGGTGTTGCCATACCTGGAATGCGAAATTGGTGCTGCTGATATCCGTGAAGCGGGCCATGGGCTCCGTAGCCGTCTGGATGCTTGTGATGGCGCGGGTGGTGAGGCTGTAGTTGACCGCGCTCCCAGTCCTGAAGACTCGGGTGGCGGCGTTGAGCACGAGAAGCACTTGGCCCACCTTCCACTCCGTCTTGGCCAGGTCCCTGCGTGGTGGAGACGCGAGGCGGCATCACGAGCAAGCAAGTCATGGGCAATAATGCCGCGTGTCATCTTGCGCGGCCTTAAAAGCAGAGTTTTTTTTCTATTACGCAGCCCAAGCAGGTAGTAGGTTGTGTTTTCTGAAAATAGCAGGTTTCTGATTTGGGATCTGCGCGCTTGCGCCTGTGGCCCGCATCCGCAGTACCCTTGCCCTCTTGCATGCCTCCGATTGTCACCCCTGCTGCATGTTGTAAGACCCGTGGGTCACCAACCCTTTGCTAGTAAGGGAGAACGGCCTCGCTGGCCGGAGGTGGCACTCACGCATGGATTTATTAAAGACACTCCTTGGTTGCACACCGTGGAAATGTTTTTGTATACAGCCGCTTTCCCCTGGGTAATAATCTAGGTAATAGACATGATGCCCAGGAAGCACTTTTCCCAATCTTTCCCTAGCTCACCCCCAAAGCGAGATGGCGATGCTGTGGGTGTCCGTGTAGGTGGGCGAGTCGTTGTTAGGGGCCACCAGCGTCAGCTCACGGGAAGCCACGGTGCGGCCCTGGATGTCCTGGAGGGGTTGCTTGGAGTGGACGCACAGTCCAAAGTAGCAGTGGGGGGGTTCAAAGCATATGCTTGTCTGTGGGACAGAAAAGGTACACTGTGGCATGAAGCAAATCCTACCTCGTAGGCCATGCTGTTGCCCAGCTGGAAGCCTTCGCAACTGCAGGAAGGGTACACGCCTGGCAATGAGCCTCTCTGACAGCTCAGGGATGCCTTGAAGCTCGTCAGGAATGTCTGGGAATCCAAGCCCGTTGTCAACTGAAAACCGTGGGCAGCGATCCCTACGGATGCTGCCTAAGCACGTATGGCATATATGCCCCGAGCCACCACGCGTAACCCATCCTGCAACATTTGTTGCCCATGGCTCACAGAGGGTGTTGTACAAGCTGTCCGTGACCTCCACAACCGAATGCTTAAACAGTCTGCGGTCGCAGCAGCAGCACGCATACGAGCACGTTTCGGCAAAGGCTGTTTTGCAGGCTTCCTCTGCAGCTTCGATGCAACAGTGCATGGAAGATTGCACATGGTCATGGGCAACATCTCCTGGCACGTCCTCGTTGTCAGTTTCGCCCTCATCTACAAGAACATGGTTTAGTATGTTTACTTCCTGTCACCGCTACAAAACTGTTGATACAACGTTAACGAATGTGTTGTTGTGGGTTCAACTTACCATCAACAAACTCTTCATCTCTACTCCTGCTGCCAACAACACCCAAATCAGGCGTTTCTTCAATGTTGTGCTTAGCGGCTGTCAATTTCCGAAGACGGTAACGAAGTTGGTCGTATGAAGCTGCACTGCCTTTCAGCTCCTTTGCAATATTGCTAGCAGTCAGTTTATTGCTGGTCGACTGGATGGTAACAACCGCTTCCTGAAAGGCCGCCTCGTCAACAGCAGTCCATCTTAATCGCTTCTTTGGTGGAAGACTATTGTCGTTGGGAGAAGGGCGCATATACTGCTGCCCAACTTTGTTGCGATGTAGAAAGTTATTGGCAGATCTATAAGTCAAGTCAGTGCAATGTGGGTTACCACGAACTTCGTTCAACAAGACCTTAGCACTGAGTTTACTGCCGCGCGCAAGTATGGCCTCTGCGGCTGTACACAACGACTCTATTTGTTGTGCACTTCTACTCAATCGTCCCATTCTTTGGTATGCTTAAAGCCATAAGTGTCGGCGCAAACAAGTACTTGAAAGGTAAAGGTGCTATGATTACCGGTAAACACCAAGGGAAGGCTAGAAGGCTTTCAAGTTGTTAAGGCACGAAGGTCTTGAACTAATCAAAGCATACACGGCTTCTAGTGCGCTGGTGGCAAGGTACGACATTGGTCTCATGAACTCAATGCTTCTTGCTCTGTGCAAATGCCATATTGACATGTCCATAGTCAGCACTACAAGTATGCGTAAACGTTTGCTTCTGGGCAGGTTACCAAAGTACAGGAGACTTGTTTTGTATTCCATTAGCCTATCCATTTCTCTGTTAGTTTCATAACTTTATGTTATTGAATAGTTTGAAAAGGCACACCTTGAAAGCAACGGATTAGACTTTCGGTGGTTTCGGAGAAAACATTCCTGAAATCGGCCGGGTTCTTCACTAAGGCTGTTACCTTGCTTCCAAGCCGCGGCCTAGCGGAGCGCCTGGAATCAAGGGCAGGCCAAAAAGTGCCTTCGTGTCCGCTTGTGTCTGCAATACGTTTCCCAGACACCAACGAGCAACAAACTTGGTTCGCTTTTCAAGTATGCATGCTTTCCTTGCGCATACGTATGCCGATTAATAAAGCTGTGTTGAATTTGTTCTTAGGTAGGCGCGTCGCAGCATGCAAATGCAGTTCACATTGCGCTGAAAGTCGTGACGACAATTTTCCTGGGTCACAAAATCACGTGCAGTACAACAACTCTAGAGGCTTTGCCTATAGAAGTACTTTTTTTAAGGGACTGTTGGCTTGGGGACAGCAATGTTGGCGACCATGTTAGGGACCCATTTGACAAAGTGCAAGCAGGCATCACAAAGCTAGCGTCCCTCAATAGGCTTATGCTCAGTGTAAGGGCGGGGGGGCGGACCATGTACGTATTTGCACCTGAGGCGAACCGCCCATGGAGCGGCGAACGTGTTTGGAGCCGCTGGGGCCCGGCATAACTATACCAGCGCGTCAAAGTATACAGGACACGGCATAAAGGCAACCGGTGGTTTCCTTTCCCTCACTGGCGCGAGTTGAGCAGTCGAATACTGGATTCCAAAAATGATAACACCCTCGGGGGGGGGACGTACGAGTACAAAAACAACTATCTAACTGAGCTGAGCGATATCAAATGAAAAAGGTGGGAATTGGACACTTGCTGGGCCCCTTCTTATGTACTTGTCGTGCCTTTCATACCAACAACTAAGCTGTTAGCTCTCATCCCTGCTGGCAATGCAAATGACACAGTCTTGGTGGCCATGCTCCTATATATACCGTACCTGTGTCTGATCACCGCGCAGCAGGAAATTTAGGGATTATTATTTTTAACGCGCAGCGCTGGAAGGAATTATTTTTTTGTAACGCGCAGGGGTCTGAGCAATTATTTTCCACTTAGCGCAGCCTTTAAAGTAGTGCTGTATCAGCCTAAAGCTTATAATAGAAAGACTGGAAAGCAGAACAATGGAATTGCAGAAACTTAAAAGCTACAGTTCAAATCGGATGGGGGCGGCTCCGGAACCTCGTTTGGAACGAATTGCGCGTGAATTTGTCGCCGCAACCCTCACACGTTCAGGCTTTTGCCTTTCTAAAAGCTCTTATAGTAACTAAGTTTCGTTATTACTGGTAACTACCACTATGGAACATTGGTACCGGTACCACGATACTGGTACCGTGTCGCAAAGGACCGTGTCCTCATCACCCTCACTGCCGCTCAATTCCACCACCTATACGTCCTCACTGCTTTCCTCCACCTGCAACCCCTCGCCTGCCTGCGCCAGCTCGTCCCCGCTATCCGCATCCCCCTCCACTTCTGCAGCGGCCTCCCCCGCCGCCTTTGCCGCCTCTTCTGCGGCAACGATAGCCTGGCCCCGCCTGACAGCGCTAGCCAGCCTGGCGGCCTTGCTCTGCTGCCCAGGGGCGTTGTGATCCCCCTGTCGCTTCTTGCGCTCCTGGGAGCCCACCCCCTTGGTGACTGACACCCCCTTGCCGAGCGCAATGCGCTTGGGAGGTGTCAGCTCACTGACCCCTCCGACAGGCTGTGTGCGTGGCGCTTTTTTCCGCCCACCCCGTGCAGCTGTGAGCGCAAGCAGCTGGGTCTCACTCATGCGGTCGTACTTCAAGGCTGCCTGCCGCACGGCCTTCCAGTACGCTGCGACCCTTCGCTTGTTCACGGCCGGTTTAGCCGCTGCGCCGCTGACACTCCTGGGCTGAGCATCACCACCGGGGCCAGCAGCGCCCGCTGTGCTGCTGGGGCCAGCAGCGCCGCCAGGGTCAGCAGCGCCCGCTGTGCTGCTGGGGCCAGCAGCGCCGCCAGGGTCAGCAGCATCGCTGTCAGCCGTGGGTGACTCCGTAACCTCGGGGTCGTTTTCCTCCTGCTGCAGCGGGGGCGCATCCCTGCCCTTCTCGAGCAGGTGCACTGCAAGGTCCTGCAGCCCATCCATGGGAAGGCAGTCCTCCCATTCATCTGCACCGACTGCGCGCTCTGCCTCCCCCTCAACGTCTGCTGTCACATCGCTAGCACTGTCGCTGCCATTGCGGGGGAAAAGCCGGGCCTGGTGGAAGATGGACTCACGCTGAAACGCCGGATCCCACGCCTGCAGCACCCCCGCTTGCTCAAATGCCTTGATGATTGACGGCCGCAATGCAACCATCTGCTCGTACGCCTCTGCTAGCCAGCCCACGGTAAGGGGTTTGATGTTGCTGAGCGACAGGTCCAGCAGCAGGTTCTGCTTAGGGACACCTGCCTTAAGCTGCTGCCGTAGCTTCGCCGTCGCCCACAGGTCGCAGGCGGCCTTGATAGCGACCTTGAACGTCCGGTTCAGGATCAGGTCTGGCACCTGGGCGATGCCTGTGGTGCCGGCAGGAACCATGACGATGCGGATGTAGGGATGCTTAGCCGCCAGGAAATCGGAGAACTCCCTGCTGATGTGCACGGTGTAGACGTCAAACAGCAGGATGCAGACCTGGTGCTGCTTGTGATCAAAGCTGACTGTCTGTCCGCCGGGAAGCTTGCCGTGCTTGAGAAACGGCTGCTTTTCTGTCGTGCCCCATCGTTGGCTCGTGCAGTTTGGCGGCCAGGCAAGTCCGGTTGTAGTCCGGGTACAGCACGTTGTCAGTCCACTCCTCCAGGGTCGCCAGCGTCTGCCAATGCGACGGGCTGACCATGAAACGGTGGCCTGAGGGGGCAGGGGGGCAAGGGACAGCACATGGCAACGATTGGAGTTGTGAACCACTGTAACGGGCCAGTACAAGCAAACTTCCCAACAACCCAAACCCTTAGAACACAAACCTTGTAGGGACCCTGCTAATGTCAACGTACCGGTAAACCTAATGAACCCGAAACTGAATTGCTTACCCGCAGCTTCAGCCTTGACACGGTCTGGCAGCGGCTTCTTGGCCCCTCCTGGCAGCGATGCTGGCGTTAGACCCCCGTAGATCGCATGAAAGGGCACCATGTCGCCATTGGCCTTGCACGTAAGGGTCACCGTTCCGCCCTGCGTGTCGTCCGCCCCCGTGACAGCAACGGCTTTGCTGTTCTGCTCCTCGAACGTGCGCGCCCCACCCATGGGAACGAAGAAGAAGAACGTCTCATCCATGGGCGTACAGCAGGCTGGGAGGCACCTCGTAAAGGAAAACCAGGATGCTGATGCGCCGGCACATGTCCTTGATCAGCTGAGCGGCGTTCTGGGGAACTTCTGAGCAGCCGTCGTGCTGGCGCGGCAGACCCACTTGAGCCGGACGTAGAGCCAGGAGGAAACCCACGACGAGCTGACCTTGAATGGGCCCCCGTACTCAGACAGCAACTGGGGGCAGCGCTCGCTGAGCACTGCACGGATCACGCTCGCAGCCGTAGCTAAAGAGATTGCAAGCCCACCCGCTCGCATTGCCTTCAGCGCTTCGAGCGCCTCAGTCTCCACTTCCGGGTATTTCCGGAGGATGGGGAATTTACCGTTGTACGGGCGCTTAAAAGACGACTGGTTGGCGATCCAGGCTTTGGTTTGGTCCGACAAGACAAGCTTGTTGTCTTCGTTGCGAACAAACCATCCCTGCAGCGTGCTTTCGTTCAGCCCGGCGAACAGCATAGGCCATTTGGTGAGCAGATGTCTAACACTGGCGCGCAAAGAGCCGAAAGTAGCGACTGCTTGCACGATAAGAACCGTAAGAACTGGGTTCCACCAGTTCTTACGTTGCGTCTTGGCCGCTTTGGCTACCGCGTTCTCTGGCATGACCGGCGCCGAGTCTACGGGACATGCAAGCAGCAAGAGATGAGAGTCGGAACCGCAACAGTTCCAGGCAGACGCAATACTTTGCAAATGTTTACCTAGTTGCTCTTCAGGAGCTTGCGGCGCTAGGATAGCCTCCTTTCGGGGCAGTCCAGGGCCCCGCTTCTTAGCTGCGGCAGCTGCTGCCGCCACGTTCTTGGCTTCCGCCCTCTCTAAAGCTTCCTTGCGATCACGTTCGACATCACGCTCTACTTTTGGCGTTCCTCGGGACTAATGCGCTTAAAAATCCCGAGAAGGCCTTGCCGCTTAGGCGTCTTATCCATTGCAGCTACGAAGAATGAAACCCAGTGCTTACATGGAATATAGCAGCCCGTTTGGGGGTCCAGGAACTGCTGAGGAGGTGTGCGTGCCAACATCTTAGGTGCCGACACAGTACCTCTATAACTGCTAACCGTGTGCACGGGGCTCCCTCGTGCGACCCGAAGCTTCACGCTCAACAACATCAAATATATTACCTTCTTTAAGATCTGCAGTTTATCTTTAACACTAACCAGTAGCCCGAGACTGTGTTACTTCAACTACGGTAGATGGAACATTGCATTGCTGAAATTAGCAAGCAGGACGTGAACACATGTGCCTTTCCCTTTGAACGCCTATACTGACATACGGTAGTGTGGGAACTAGGAGCTGTGCATGGGTGTGCGCCTTTGAACGCGAGTTCAAATTGGAACAGCAAAAGCGCTTCCCACGGCTCGCGGTCTAGCGGGCATCCTTTGTCGTTCGGCAAATGGCATCGCAGCAGCTGCGTTGGGAGTGCGCACCGGACTGCTGGTGATGCACTGTGCCTGGTGGTCGGCAACTCCGGGACCCACGTGCCTTAACGCCGCTGTCTCGCGGAGGCTTTCTTAGCTGCTAGCAAGGAGGTTTAGGTATGGATGGGGCCAGGAAAAGAGTAAAACCCGGAACCTCGGGGCAGCATGCAGTTGGGGCCACGCCATGGGCAATTTTAGAGTTAACGCGCAGCCCTTTCGGGAATTATTTTTTTTAACGCGCAGGGCCCGGACCAATTATTTATTTTTGCGCGTTAATGCACATTTTTCCAAATAATTATTTATTTTTGCGCGATGATCACTGGGAGGTACGGTAATCCTTAGCCCAAGCATGGGCAACACACAGAGGCAACAGTCGAAAAGGCCGGGCAGGTGGGATTTAAAAATGTAAAACGTATGAACACAACACGCCCAAGCTTTACACAGTAATTGCCACTGATTGATGATTGACTAGATAGTGTTCACTACACTTCAGAAGGTAATAACTGCTTGCAAAACAACAAAGCTTCCAAGGTGAGAGGCAAGGCAACAGGGGTTAGTTGGGCACTCCAAGCGCCAGTTGGGCACTAGTTACTCCTTTCGGCATGCTTTAGGTGGGTATGGTTTGCAAGTTTTGCAGTTACATTTGGACACCTTCCTGCTGGATGGTACACATGGCAGACGTGGGTTATCATCCAAAGGAGCATCACCTCCTTAAAGCCACCTCATGGCCGTAGCTCCACACACCCAGGCAATAGAACTAAGGTAAAATGGCCACAAGGACGCACGGGATGGACCCAAACCATACATACTTAAATAAGTGCTTAACTGATGTGAATGCGGGACACAGCACGTGAGGTGAGTCAGCCTGTTGGTGGCCGCTGGTGATGGTTGCTGCAAAGCAGCTGGATGGGCCCCTTGTACCACCCGTCAAATGCCCCTTGCAGCTGCTTTACATAGTCCGACATTCCGGGACACCTGAAAGGGTTGTCTAATGGCATGTACGGCGACATGTACGACTTGGCAAAAGCGCAAAAGGGGCCCTCCGACTGAGCTAGGGACACACCACAGGGGAGTTGCGGGAATTGAACCCACGACCTCTCGCACCCTAAGCGAGAATCATACCAGTAGACCAAACTCCCTGATGTCTAGGACTTGAAAGCAGCGTCCTATTAAAGGTTATGGGTCCGGTACGCCACGTAAGGCCCTCTCTTTTTGGCGGCATTCCAAGGCTGCATGCTGCGTGATGCACTCCGGAATGATCTCAAGCACTATGCCAATGCCTTTAGTATTGAGCTGTGCCGTTGGGGTGCTTCAAACATGCTCCCCACGCTAGTTGTTGGCCTGTAGTGGAGCACAAGGTGACAACAGATATTTGATGCCTGCCGTAGTGGCTCGTGACATAGTTACCCTATACCATAACACGATAACACCTAAACTCTCTATCCAACCAAATAACCAGTTATGCCGGGAGAAGCCAACTGAAGAAGGGGGAATGAAACAACTGGGCCCCTGACGCCCTACCCGTGCCCTCTTACGCACTCAGCTAACCTGCTAACACGCATTACTGCTGGCACGGCAACGGACCCAATCTGCGTGGCCTGCTCCTATCCAAGGCCCACGCAGAGACAACCCCCGGCCACTAGACCCAACAAGGAAAACAATGCGAAGGGCGGGTGGGTGGGAAAAGAAACTAGACCTCGGTAAGGCAGCAAGCCCAAGCTCTAGATAGCGTGGGCTATCCCCAATTGACTAGCGTTGACTACAAGAGGCTAGCCGCGATTGGACACAAAAACAACGAAGTTCCCCGGAAGAAAGCCACGCAACGATAAAACAACAAGGCAGGCAACTCTCAAAACGCCATCCGACCACCAAGGCTCAATGTACGACAACTCATGCACTCGCCCCTACGGGTCCTCAAACTAGGTTTTTAGCTACGCCAAAAATATAATTTTGATGCCTGCCGTAGTGGCTCGTGACATAGCCACCCTATACCATAACACGATAACACCTAAACTCTCTCTCCAACCAAATAACCAGTTATGCCGGGAGAAGCCAACTGAAGAAGGGGAAATGAAACAACTGGGCCCCTGACGCGCTACCCGTGCCCTCTTACGCACTCAGCTAACCTGCTAACACGCATTACTGCTGGCACGGCAACGGACCCAATCTGCGTGGCCTGCTCCTATCCAAGGCCCACGCAGAGACAACCCCCCTTTCCCATCACATCTGCTCTACCACCGCCCGCCTGACCGCCACTGACTTGCAAGTGTACACATCTACGGCCCGAGACTTCCACCGCCCGTGCTCCTTAATGGCCTCTACCACGTGGGTGATGAAGAGGCAGACCAGGAAGCGGTTTAGGTCCTGGCCCCGGGCCCGAGGGGAAGCATCCTGCTCGCTCAGGCGCAGAACAACGACGCAGAACCTCAGGAACCGCTGGCGCCCCGCCTCATAGGTGGCCGCAGACCGGGCCGCCACCGCGCTGCCTGCCTGCACTACCCATCGTTTGGCGAGTCCGCTCACGTAGCCCTCGGCAGCCTCCGCCCCAATGCCTGCCGCCGCCAACACGCAGCCGGCGCAAAGGTACCACCCACCCGGGTAGTCGCCGGCTGCCAGCCCTAAGCAGCGGCGGTGCGCCATGCGGTGCTGAGCTGCCGGCCGAGGCGATCTGCGCGCACATTCTCGACGCCCGCGATATGCTCCGCCCGGAGCTCAAACCCATGCCGGATCACAAGCTCCACCATCTGCCGGCTGACGCTGCGGCCCTCCGGCACGCGGGTGGAGCCGTGCCTGATCGCGGCCACGGCCTGAGTATAGTCGCAGCGGATCAGCACCGCCTTCAGCTCCAGCCAAGCAATGTGTAGCTGCTTCTCCGCCGCTGACCACGGCCCCTGCCGCTCCGCGGGGCCCCAGGCCGCGCCAGCGCCGCAGCCGCTGGCGTCGGTGAAGATGACTGCACCACTGGGGCCCCCAAACCTCCCTCACCAGGTCGAGGTCCGCTACAGCGCACTGCTTGACGCCGTCCCACACTGCCGAATCCGACCGAAGGACCCCCCACCAGAACTCCAAGTCCTCTATGTCCTCAGGCGTTAGCTGCACCTAGCGTGGTGGTGGTGTAGTTACCGTCCTGCTGCTCGCCCCTGCCACTGCACCTCCCTGCGGCGCTGCAGGCGCCACGGTGCTGCTGCTCCCATGTGCTACCGATGGCCTGCCGACTGGATCTGCCATTGGGGGCCGCCCTCGAGCCGCCGCGCACGCCTGATGTGTGGTCAGGCATCTAGGCCGTGCCTCCCCTGGCTGCGCCGTGGCGGGCACTGCTGGGGATGTCGCCACCGGCTGGCCATGTTCCGCCCCCATGGCGCCCTGTCTCAGGGCCAGCGCCACTGCGTCAAAGCCTCCAGGGGCCCTACCAGCGCCTCTGACCACCGGCCATCCGTCTCCACCACGTGTCCCAACAGCTTGCTGCTGTTCACTGCACGAGCGATAGGGAGATGGGCCGGAGGAAGGGGAGGAGGCCCATAAGATACCCACTCCGCCCTGGAATTGGGTTGTTATCGCCTTGGGTGGTACACAGGTATCCCATTTCGCCCTGGGATTGGGTTGTCCCATATCGCCTTGGGAAGGCACAAACGTATCTCACTTCGCCCTGAGATAGGGTTTACCCATTTAGCCTTGGGTAGGCACTAAAGGTCCCACTTCACCCTGGGATTGGGTTGTCCCATATCGCTATGGGGAGGCGCCTAAGTATCCCACTTCGCCCTGGGATCGGGTTTTCCCATTTAGCCTTGGGCAGGCACTAAAGGATCCCAATTCACCCTGGGATTGGGTTGTCCCATATCGCTATGGGGAGGCGCAAACGTATCCCAGTTCGCCCTGGGATAGGGTTGTCCCATTTCACCTTGGGGAGGTCTAACGTACGGCCCGCCCTCGTGGTGTCTCCCACACCGCCCTGGGGTGGCCTACCTGCATGAGTGTCGCCCATACCGCCCGATGCTACCGCCAGCCACCCCGCGCCACCGGCCCCCGCGGCGGCGGCGCCTGGGGCACCCGCCATGTCCCTGGCGGGCGCATGAAGTTCCTAGTTCCTCCGCGGCATGTGCCTGCGCGCCGCCGCTAGCTTCCTGTCACGCTCATCCTCCGGGAGGCCTACCAGCGTGGGGCAGTGGCGGAACCTGTGGCCCGTCGCGTCGCAGACAAAACAGCGCTATTGTGCATTGCCGTGGCTGCCTGCTGACCCGCTGCTCGGACGCGGGAGGGGCGCCTCCCTGGCCGCTGCTCGGTTGCTGGAGGTGCCCTGACCCGTCGCGCTGCGCAGGATGTCAGTCAAGTCCTCCTTGCTGAAAGAGGAAAGAGGTTGCGCAGTAGGTTGAGCTTATCCGGGTCTCCCTCCTTTAGCCAACGCATGGCCTTGGGAAAGGTAGTGTAGCGCGTGAGCTTGCTGACCTCGGACTGGACCTGCTGCGCCTCCTGCGCCCGCTTGTAAGCTGCGGTGGCAACCATCAAGCTCCGTGCTTGCTCGTCCGTAGTCTGCGCCCTCGCCGCCTCCTGCAGCGCGGCCTCGCCCAGCGACACGCTAGCGCCGATGATGCTCTTGGCATGACTGTTGAAGATGTCTTGGTTGGTAGACAGCCTGAGTGTCTGAGCTAGGGCAGGGAAGTCTTCGGTATCCACCTGTTCCTCAATACCCAGCACATGTGCGTCTTTGTACGGGCACCGTGGTTGCTGCTGCTGCTGCTGCGGTTGCAACCTGCCTCGCTGCTGCTGCCGCTGTTATCGGCTGAACTGCTGCTGCCGGTTGTCCCAACCCCGCTGGTCCCTGTGCCGTTGCCCCACCAGCCGGAGGCTCAACTTGTGGGACCGGCGCCAGCGCACCGTGTCCCTCCTGGGTCGTAACGATCGCCCCAGCCGCGAAGACCTGGCTGAGCTGTGACTTGCGCATGAAGATGGCGCGACGTGTGTCTTCCCGAGCCCGCAGTTCCAGATAAAATGGCTGCCTGCGCTCAATCTCTCGAATTACTTCTGCCGTGGCTTTCTTATAGCGGGCAACCGACTGCGAATACACCTCTTTCGTTGCTTTGGTCTTGCCCGGCTTGAGCAAACCGATAGCGTCCTGCTCAGCTTCCTCGGCTTCAATAATTAAGCGTTCACAGGTTTTCAGATATTCCTGTTCCTCGGCTGTGAGTAGTGCTGCCGCTGGGGACTGAAGCTGCCGGTCACAATCTTCGAGTGTTCTCAAATGGTTCAACCAGACCGAAGCAATCTCATGGCCTGCCCAAGTGGACGTGTGGGGTGGTGGGTGATAGTTGTGTGGCTGGTTGCATGAGGGCGGCGCGCGGGTGACCCTACTACGGATGCTATTTAAGCATGTATGGCATATATGTCCTATGCCAGTTCGGGCTACCCATCCTGCAAGGTTTGTTGCCCACACTTCGCTGAGGGTGTCATACATGGTATCCGTGACCTCTACCACTGAATGTTTGAACAGACGTCGCTCACAGCAGCAGCATGCGAACGAGCAGGTTTGGGAGAACGCTTCTCTGCACGCCTTCTCAGAGCTTCGACACACGAGTGCGTGCTGGTGGTCGGGAGCCCAAGGCCGTCGGAATCCACATCTGCCTCGTTCTCGGTGCCGGGTTCGTCTTCATCTGAAAGGGCTTGGCGCGAACCCAAAACTCCGTCATCTATGTATCTCAAGCAGCAAGTGTGCACTAAGGCTTATCCAACGTTTGTGCGCACAAATGAAGGCCGGAGCTATAGAACCTTTGTCAATGCCCCACAACTAGCAAATATTGGCAAACAACCAATAACCCACCAATGTCACCATCCTCCACACCGCTATTGTTGCTGACGTTTCCATTATCCTCTGATGAACATAGAAGACGCTGAGTTTTCGCCAACTGCCAAAGTCGGTAGTGCACTTGATGGTGCGTGGCAGCACTTCCATTCAACTCCTTTACGACAGCGCCCGCTGTTACTTTTCTGTTGGTGGATTGTAGCTTGAGCACTGCTTCCTGAAACGCTGCTTCCTCGTCCGGAGTCCACTTTGAATGCTTCTTCGAAGGCTGAGTGGTAGCGTTGGGCCTAGGCCGGATATACTTTTGCCCGGCTTTGTTGTATTGCAAAAAGCTGAGAACACGTTTATACGTCAAGCCCTTCAAGCGCGTGTTGGAGCACACTTCGTCATACAATAGCTTGGCAGTAAGTTTCAGTCCGCTAGAAGCAATAGTCTCGGCTGCTTTACACAGAGCGTCAACTTCATATGTTTTCATGCATTCCCTGGCCATTGTGTGTATTGAGTAAGGAAGGCAATACGGAAGCCATTGGTGTCGGCCCTATTAAACTACGCTGCTGGCCTTACCGCGACAACAACCTAACGGATACCAACGTGTAGCAAGCTATCGACATGCACGTAAGGCCTCTTTTTTTGTAACTTGTTTTGTACTTTGTACGACACAGGCCAATATCACTGCTCACCCATATACACATCATTATTTTAACATCACAATACAACAAACACCTGTGCAATGATTATGTGACGAACGCTGCAGCTAGAAACTCCTCTCTACTCATAACAATCATTCTTGACTTGGAGCCACATCGCAGGTTGTCTTTGTGACTTGCATATACACATTCAAATTCCAAACCTTTTGCACGAAAAAGATGCCAAAAAGCTCACGCGAAAACTTGTTAAATTTGCCGGGGTGTTCACTAAGGCTGTTCCCTTGCTTCCAAGCCGCGGCCTGGCGGAGCGTCTGGACCCTACCAACGGCCCCTATGGGTTAATCCGGTTAACGGATAAGTTAAATCTGCTTAAATCCGTCTAAATCCGGGATAAGCCTTCTGGTCGCATTAAGGCGTGCACATGCAGATTATAACGGATCACAACGGCTTTGACACAAATCCAAACAATTAATCCACTGTCACACTTGTGCTCGTAGTGGATTAAAACGGCTTAAGCAAGCACATGAAGTGTCCCCAATACTGAGAGGTAGAGGGCTCGCACCTCGCAGGAAATAAGGGTTGCGAGATGTTACAGAAAGAAGCATATGTTTTGGAAATTTGCATGTTGTGCCCATGTGATCCGTCCACGAATTGAGTGAGAGCATTGGGCGTGGAGTGAAAACTACCCTACCAAGCCAGAGATATGCATGTCGCATCATGTTAAGGGCAGACCCGCTTGAGGGCCGGGGGCAGAGTGAGGATGAGTAGGCACAGCTTGCCTGTTGGATTGCATTGGTACCTTCTTCAGATGTCGTTACCCAGCACGCAGCCACCGGGCGGTGGGGGTTTAGCTATCATGTTGAGGAGGGACATACTGGCTTAGGGACTGGAGGCAAAGTGAGCAGGAGACTATGACCCTGCAACTGTGTACCAGCTGTACAGTGGTGTCACCAATCAGCACCCCGCACATGGGGCTCATTGCTAAAGCAATCCTTTCATCCAGCCGATCCCTGTTTCGATGATCCATTAGCACTGCACATGGATCACAGCTAATCCCTTTCTATCTAATCCGTCGGTGCATGCACATGGCTCAGGGCTAATCCCTTTTCATCTAATCCATAACCCTCACGCACGGCTCCTAGGTAATCCACGTTAATCTAATCTGCATGTGCATGGTTTTGGCTTAACATGGATTACAGTAACCCCAGCAAATCCAACTTGAACCATTTTAATCGGATTACCAT